ATGGCCCACCGCCACAACTTAAGTGTTCAATGGCCGGAGGCAGCGGTCGCCAACCAATCGAAAACGGAATAGGAACCGCACAAAGCTACAAGATCTCTTCTATTAAGTAAAGTATACAGATAGAATCAGCCTTGCGAATACACAATCGGTTGGTCCGAACTCTCAAAGCATCTACCAGGATGGGTACATCCTGGAAGACAGATCGGTGTACAGTCAACTACTACTTTCTCCCGATCAACAGCCGGCAAGACAGCGGACTCGTGGCTCAATTTTTAGGACGTTTGCTTCTGACAGGCGAGACGCGAGTTCGAAACTCGAGTGTGGCAGCATTTTCAACGGTTATACTAGAGTCGGCTACCCCCGGCTGACGACGGCCAAATATACTCAAGTTAAAATATATAAAATAAGTATGTTACTATAAAATAGGAAGTAACTTGTTCACATATACATATTTTTAACAGTAAATTTACGCATAGTCAGCCTGAGGATAGTAAATAAAATTGTTAAGATGAGATATTAATTTCATCCGTAAGTGTGAGCAAAGCGGTGATTTGTTCTAACAGTGCTTTCCTGTGCATATGAACGGTATCCGTTGAGTAAATATACAACATCATTTTGGTTGAATGCGTCAGTTGAGCTCGCCATTATGACCTCCTCGGGCAGGCCGTACCAGGCACCGAGAAAAAGCTGTGAAAACAGAAATTCTGAAGTGTGTTTTCAATTAAAAAGTTTACTTAAGTGGAGTTGTAAGATTAAGTATCGCACAGCATAATCTCAGGATGCCGACTTTCAAAGAAACTTCTTATCGGTCGTCATCGAAATCTACACTCTGCTTAAGCAGTGTGCATTTTCCATTGATCTTCAAACATACTTAATAGGAAAATTGTGTAAAAATTTTCTCCCTTGTACTACGCTGTTAGCACAGTACATCTTTTTAGTATGTTATACTCGAAGTAATTTTATCTTTCGATCTTCAAAAGGTTTCGACGTACGCATCCACATTCACTACAAAATTTAATGAGCCCTATACTATCTCTTCTTGATGGGGTATATGTGAGATTTTTCTTCTATGGAAGATAGGCAGCTTGTAGTTGGGAAACCAGCAGCAAGTTGGACTCTAAATCGCTCGGGAATTTCAAGCCTTTTTTTTTACCGAAGGTACCCTTTCTTCAAGTATCATATCGAAAGCTGTAAGTTACTACTAAATGAATAAGAGAGGATATGTATATCCATATTTTCTAAAATTTGTTTTAATTACAAAGAGCTGTACAAATCAATGGAAGCTGTATACTACTTAAGTAGTCTTTTTTAGAAAGGTTTCTGACAGCGGTCGGAAGGAAGCCTGTCCAAATGCCGTCAACTTAACTGACGGAAACGTCTTGAATTTAGGCTAAATGAACGCTCATCGATTGCTAACGGAATTCACTCCTCCCACTCTGCCCTGGGAGTCACTTTCGAGCCCCGACAGCAGCCGCAAGGCGAGCCGGTGACTCAATGGTTAGAGCGTTGGACTTCTGGTCCACAGGCCGTGCGTTCTAACCTCGGGAGTTGATGGCTAATGAGCCACAAATGGTCATTCCGTTCTTTGACAGTAATGGTCATCTAAGCTTAAAATTCTACTCAAATCATTTTTCCTCTCATCGAAAGCATATTTAAGAATTTAGATCAGAAAAAGTTCTTGACAGAAAAAAGAAAGCCGTCTGGCCCTAGCGTCACACAGCTGCATGTTGACTCAAGCCACCCTTGCGTCATGGGAATTAGAGACGGCTAGCCACGGTCTACCGCTCCAGGCGTGATAATTGCTCTGCCGCAAATTGGCGACAGGTTACACGGTTGCGACGAGGCTTGCGGTTGTAGTTCGCTTGTCACAGTATCACCGCGCCACGAAGCAGAGACATCGCCGAAACGCACATACTCAAAAGCACGATACA